AACCAGGAACCGAGTGGAGTGAGATAAACCGTGCAGTTGTTGTTGTGGTGTTGTTGTTGTTTTTTTGTTGCATTCCTTAGTTTAGAGGAATACTTTTTGTGAGGGAGGTGTTACGCCCGCCTGGTTGCCTCTACTGGCTCTGCTACACAGTGCAGGCTTTAGTTGAGCAACAGGTGTATTCCATCCCTAATTAACTCCTTATATGGAGTAGTATAAAGATCTGTGATTGGGGAGTGAGCGGTCTCTCTTAGTCTCAGCTCTTAGTCTCAGCTCGCAGCTCTGAGGCTCTGTCTCTCTCGGGAGCTGAGCTTTCTCACGTTTTATTTGTTTTTTCTCCCACCTTATTTCTTCAGGGTATTTGTTTGTTCTCCTATCTTTATTGTTAGTGCCAGATATTGTTTATTTTGTGTAGAAACGCGCGTGTATTTACTTTTCCCCTAGACATTGATTTTTCTGATTAGTTAATAATTGTTTTGTTTGGTTTGTCAATAAATTAGTTTATTGTTCAAGTATTTGTTGTTTGCCTCTTTTATGTTGCGGTTTACGAGCCAGCCGTAACAAGGGTCAGACTTGGTTTCCGGAGCTCACTCAGCTGTCACAGACAGCCCCGTGGCCCATTCCAGTCAGAGCAGATCTCCTCTCCCAAGCTCGCGGCACGATCTGGCATCCCCACAGGGAGCTAGAAGGATGAACCAGAGCGCTGGGCGCTACATGCGTGGGTGATCAACGACTACCCGTTGCTTTGCCAGAGGGAGTGTTAAACACGATCCGGGGCAAAGATGGCTTGGTCATCCGCTTCCTCAGGGGAGCTAGAAGGATGAACCCCCCACGCCCCCCTTCGGTGCCGATTTGGGACCTTTCCATAGTTCTCGAAGCTATGAAAGCCCCCCCATTCGAACCGCTAAACACCGTGGACCTCAAACGCCTTTCGCTCAAAACCTTTTTTCTGCTCGCGCTCTTGTCAGTAAAACGTGTGGGAGACCTTCACGCGCTGTCCATTAGCGCTTCCTGTCTCGAGTTTGGGCCCAATGACTCCTTAGTCGTTCTCAAACCTAGACATGGTTATGTCCCAAAAGCAATTGGTACCCCGTTGACCAGGTGTTCCCGTAGCGTAAGCTAGCTTACGCAATACGAGAGAACCGCTCGTAAGAGAACGAATCGGTTACCTAACGTAACCTCGGTTCTCTCTAGATGAGGGAACGAGTATTGCGTTCCTGGCCGTGCTTGTGCTACTAGCGTTCTCGCTTCATTCTATGAAAACCAGAGTTTACAGCCTGGGACGCGAATTTATACTCTCTGACCACGCCCGTTTCGGCGGGCTCTGACGCAATGAGAGCATGTCAGACTCTCATTGGCCGAGAGTTAATTCGCGTCTCCTCATAGGCTTAAGCAGTTCTCTGTGAGCGAACCAATGAGCTGCTAGCTAGCTAAACACCGTGGTCTGGTCATGGTCTGCTGCAGCTGAACTGCGTTGACAATGGATACAAAATTATAGGATAATTTTTTGGCTTCAATTTCTCAGAAAAGATTAATCTTTCTGTAGCGTAAGCTAGCTTACGCAATACTCGTTCCCTCATCTAGAGAGAACCGAGGTTACGTTAGGTAACCGATTCGTTTTTCAGAATTAAGTAGTAGGAAATTACTAGTCATTCAATTTTTAATATCAGCTATGCATTCCGTTAATTTTGTGAATTGGTAAGTTTCGTCAGGGCGTGAAGAAAAATAGAGCTGAGTATCATCAGCATAACAGTGAAAACTAAAGCTTCCTAATGATATCTCCTAAGGGTAGCATAGCATGTTCAGGGTGACCAGCAACGGCCCTAGTACTGAGCCTTGTGGTACGCCATACTGAACTTGTGATCGATAAGACATCTCTTTATTTACTGCTACAAACTGATAACGGTCAGATAAGTATGATTTAAACCATGCTAATGCAATTCAACTAATGCCAACATAATTTTCGAGTTTATTTAAAAGAATGTTGTGGTCAATGGTATCAAATGCAGCACTAAGATCGAGTAACACCAATAGCGAGATACAACCACGATCGGATGATAAGAGCAAATCATTTGTGACTCTAATGAGAGCTGTCTAGGTACTATGGTGCGGTCTAAATCCTGACTGAAAATCCTCGCAGATATAATTTCTTTCTAAAAAGGAACATAGTTGTGAGGATACTGCCTTTTCTAGTATCTTTGACAGAAAAGGTAGATTCAAGATCGGCCTGTAATTGACTAATTCTGTACGATCAAGTAGCGTTTTTTAACAAGTGGTTTAATCGTAGCCAGCTTAAAAGTTTTTGGTACGTATCCTAGTGACAAAGATGAATTAATGAAATTGATTAATAAAATGAAATTATTAATCAATTAATAAAATGAAATTGAAATTGAGGATCTATGACCTCTAGAAGCATCTCTTTCAATAGCTTAGTCGGTATAGGGTCTAACATACATCATGTTGATTTAGATGATTTAATGAGTTTAGTCAATTCTTCCTCTCCTATAGCAATGAATGAATCAAATTTTTCCTTAGGGAGACTACAATGCACTCCCTGATTACTGTAGTAGACGGTTGCATAGTTATAATTTTCTCCCTGATATAATCAATCTTGTAAGTAAAGAAGTTCATAAAGTCATTACTGCTGTGCTGCTTGGAAGCTACTGGGCTTGACGCTTTATTTTTCGTTAGTTTAGTAACTGTTTCAAATAAATACCTAGGGTTTTGTTTATTTTCTTCTAATAGGGTTGAAAAATTGGTAGATCTAGCAGCTTTTGAGGCCTCTCTGTATGCCAGGGTTCCTCAAACTCGGTCCTGGAGGGCCACTGTCCTGCAGAGTTTAACTCCAACACTGATCAAACACACCTGAGCAAGCTAATCAAGGTCTTCAGGATCACAAGAAACTCACAGGTAGGTGTGTTTGATCAGGGTTGGAGCTAAACTCTGCAGGACAGTGGCCCTCCATGACCGAGTTTGAGGAACCCTGCTGTATGCAATCGAGCTCTCCTTCCATGAAATGCGAAATACCTCTAGTTTAGTTTTCTTCCAGTTTCACTCCATTTTTCTGGCTGCTCTCTAAAAAGAGTGTGCTCGTTGTACCATGGCGTTGGACAATTTTCTTTAATCTTCTTTAAGCGCAACGGAGCAACTGCGTCTAAAGTGCTGGAAAAGAGAGAGTTAAAAGTTTCTGTCGCAATATCGAGTTCTTCTAAGCTATCTGGGATGCTGAGATGATGTAACTGATCAGGAAGATTATTAATAAAGCAATCTTTAGTGGCAGAAGTGATTGGTCTAACATATTTGTAACACGGAGTCGGCTTTGCAGTCTTGGCTAAATGAAGTTTACACGAGACTAGATAATGATCTGAGATGTCATCGCTCTGCTGCAGAATTTCAACAGCATCAACATTGATTCCATGTGATAATATTAGATCTAGAGTATGATTACGACAAAGAGTAGGTCCTGACACGTGTTTTCTAACTCAAATAGAGTTAAGAATATCTTTAAATACCAATCTGGATGGATCTTTTTCATTATCTACATGTATATTAAAATCGCCAACAATTAGGACTTTATCTACAGCCAGTACTAACTCTGATACAGCCAGTACTAACTCTGATTACTTTATCAGCAAATTCTTTGATAAAGTCTGTATGGTGCCCTGTATAAAGTAGCCAGCACAAATCTCAAACATGATTTATCATTTACACTATATATTGTTACATTAAGCACCAACACTTCAAAATAATTATATTTGAAACTAGATGTCTTGGTAATTTTGAAAGTATTACTAAAAATTACAGCAACACCTCCCCCTTTGCCTTTCAGACGACGTTCATGTTTATAACCGTAATCTTGTGGGGTGGACTCATTTAAAGTAATGTAATCGTTTGGTTTTAGCCAGGTTTCTGTCAAACACAGCACATCTAGGTTATAGTCTGTAATCATATCATTAACAATAAGTGCTTTTGAAGTAAGGGATCGAATATTCAGCAACCCAAGCTTTATCATTTGTTCGTTTGTATTATATCTGTTTTTTATTTGTTGAACATCAATGCATTTTTTTACCTTAAATGGGTTTGGAAGTTTTTTGTATTTCCTAATTCAGGGAACAGACACAGTCTCTACATGATGATATCTAGGTAAAAGAGTCTCTATCTATGTGATGGGATTTATCTGACCTTAGTGACGTGAGACAGCTAGCAGACGGTCGGTTTAGCCAGTCTGTCTAGTTCCTTACCTGAGCCCCAATTCATGTTTGAGCTCTAAGACTATGTGCCAAGTGCCATATTACTAGAGGGAAGAGCAGCACCATCCCAGTTTCACAGTTACTGTGCTGTTTCTTAGCAGAGCGATATTATAATTTGAGGGTAATTTTTGCCTGTCCCAGTTCTTGACCTCCTTTACTGTGTGGAATAATGGAAATGATACAGCAATGTTAAAATTGCTATTCATTAAGTGGTCTATTAAATTAACATTCAATGAATTGTAGCAAAAATGTTTGGTTACACTTTATTTTACAGTGTCCTTGTTACATATGTTAGCAACATGTATTAACTGTAGTCATAACAGCAAATTAAGCATAATAAGCAACTAACATTAAACAAAGCCCTATTCCTAATACTAACCCTACATGCTATCTATCTATCTATCTATCTATCTATCTATCTATCTATCTATCTATCTATCTATCTATCTATCTATCTATCTATCTATCTATCTATCTATCTATCTATCTATCTATCTATCTATCTATCTATCTATCTATCTATCTATCTATCTATCTATCTATCTATCATTTTCTGAAAGCATGTAGGCTACTTTCACAGAGATTAAGAGGGTTTCTCAAATACAGTTCAGATGCTCGAATGTTTCTTTCAACTACAGTTTATAGACTTGAAAAGAAAATGAGCAAAAATTACAAGCAGTATTTGAATATTCACGTCGTAAATTCAATATTTTGCTGTCTTTTATTTTGAAACCTCGTGCAGCCGGTAGGCGGAAGTAAAGGTCTATGTTTACTTGCGCGCGCGAGTGTTGATGGCAGCCTCCAGACAGTGACAGCATGCAGAACATAAACAGCGCGCTCTGTGAAATAGCCACAGAAAAACTTACAAACACCCATCTTACAACTTTGCAAACTGTGACGAAAGCTTTACGGGATGAGGAGTTCAGGTATCACAAAATGAACATAAATGTGTGCGTTTAAGTTTTAGGTAGCAGAGAATGTTTGTTGCATACATTTCTACATGGATTATTGCTTATATTATAATGATATACAAAACACCCTCTTAGTCTCTGTATCATCACTACAGCAACTTGCACATAAACCAGTTTCTGAGACATGCATTAACTGTTTACTGAGTTTATGCTGTTTTGTTTCAGGAATAGTGTTGACAGGGAGGCTCTTGGAAACCTCTATGCAGTGCTGTCAAGACTTTCTGTGGATGTTCATCATTTGACTGAGGAGATGGATTCACAGGAAGAAGAAGGATCTCTGTGCCATAAATTCACTGCAGAGTGTTTCAGAGCACACAGAAATGCCTGTGTGCAATGCACTGAAAACCAGTGCTGTCTGAGGTAGTGTACAGTGGAGTCCAAAAAGTCTGCTATACTGCTAAAACAGTAGGATCAATTAAGCATTTTTTAAATGTAATACTACATATTTCATTTAAAATTAAATCAATGGCATGACAATTTGAGTAAAAAGCCAAAATTGAACCACAATGTGATGTCTAGCTAGATAATAGTTATAATAACAATAATATATTTTATTTATAAATGCCTTTCATGACACTCAGTTATATTGTATTGTATTCGATTATATTATAAAGAAATACAAATCAAATTTCTTAGTATTTTATGTCCCCAAATTAATGACAGCAGCACTCGAGCTGCATGAACTCCACAAGTTTGTGTAATACCTGGGCTGCATCCAAAATCGCATACTTCTCTATATATAGTAGGTGAAAAACAGTATGTGAGAAAAGAACTATGTCCGAATTCACAGTACTCATAAAAGAGCAGGCAAAAAGTACCCAGATGACCTATTCCTTCCTTCTATCATTATCCCATGAGGCCACGGGAGAGGATTTATCAATGGCAGTGAAACGACGCAACTGACACATGAAAGTGACAACATGGCAAATGTAGTATGTCCAGATTACATTCATACTACACAAATTCTTACTATATAGAACATACTTTTTCAGTGATCATGAAGTAATTACTAATTCAAAATAAGTACCTACTCAAGAGAGTATGCGATTTCAGACCCAGGTTTTCCAGCATGTTTCCAGCATTCTCAAATTTTCAATGTGTTCTCAGACTTATGGACACTGTTTATAACATCATAATCGTTATTAGTATATGAATATGCCTGTGGGTTTTATGGCAAGTAGAAAAACATTTTTATCTTCACAGAGATCTAGGCTCCATCAAGCTATCTTTTGAGATTTTGGCCAAACTCCTCAAGATTTCGTCAGGAGGTTCGAATGATATTTATGATGGTGGGTTTTAAGTGTTTCAGCTCCATCTAAAGGATCTTCTCAGTGAGATGGAGGGTAACGGGTAGATAAATCAATGTACTCTCTCTCTCCTTTGGCAGCAATTCGATGTGGTATTCAGTTTCTTGGTAACATTGCTGTTGGAAACCAGCTCTGCAAAGATGACATCTGGGAGCTTGGTTTCCCGCACATCTTTTGGTGAGTTAATTTATGGTCGGATGGCCGCTGATGCATTTCTTATGATGTCAGTTAAACATGTGTTCACTGTTCGTTTAGTGTTAGCCACTGATCTACGTGCCACTTTTTTGTAATCGCTGCTCATCTCCTTCAAGGGACCTTTTGGAGCTCCCAGATGAGAAAGCTGTGTCATACACGTGTATGGTGATCCACACTTGTCTGGATGAACACAAGACAGAGCAGCTAGTTAAAGACACACCACATTTTAAATTGTCCCTGAAGATTATGGACTTGTGCAGGACGTTGCCTGATGTGGACTGGACGTAAGCTGTGTTTTGTTTTAAAAGGTTTCCATTGAATTCCAAATTTGGAACAAGGTCATCTTTCATCTAGACCTATTTTATATCCTGTTTTGGTCATAATTACTCTTCTTATAGGGTCTTTATTGCTACACAACGTTTCCTCAAGTCGTCAGAGCTTATTAAGATGATGTACACTGAAATGACCAATGAAGCAAGGTAAAAACTCTGTTATTCAAATAAATTATTGCATGAAAATGAGATGCTTATATCTAGGTCAATGCATCACAATACTGAGATTTAACTCTTGGATGATTTGAGTCAGTGTTTATTTATTTATTTACTTATTCAAACTCTTTGTTACAAATTCTAGTGAGCTGCATAACTAGACAACAGTTTAGTCAACAGGCTGTTCCATATAATAGGGAGCCTTTTAAATGACACATTTTTAAATACCTAAAAGGTAACATCTCATGCTTCATGGATAAGGCAATCCCAGAATGCATTGCGAGGAACTCAGCTATGGCAAATAGCAACTATAAAACATCAAAAGAAAAAAGTCACATTACATAATTAAAAATACACTTTTTTTAACACACTTTTGTAATTTCGGTGTACAATTATCTATTAAAAATATTCAAATTAATTGCAGGCTAATGAGGTTCCATTTTGGTTAGGATGCTGCCTTAAAAGGTAATTCCCTAAACAGACAGCAAGACAGCTTACTAGGGTCTGGAACAGAGTCAGACCACCATCACTCTTAAAGCACAGTAAAATGGGCCATAAGAAATTAATGTATCATTTTAAATAACATTCTATGTAGGGCTTGACTTTTTTGCTCACCAGCCACTGTGGCTAATGGTTTTCCATAGTTACTAGCCACTCAGCATTTTCACTGGCCAAAATTTTGACATCAATATCATGGGGATAGATATTTAATATTATCTCATAATTTGGCAGCAGGTATATTAGGCTGCTGTCACTTTAGACCTGACACACAGACCCATTATACTGGTACACGTGCATTTTCTTTCTCAACTGTTTACGTTCACTTAAAAAATATGTGAATACTTATCAAGACCAGCATTTTGACATTATTTTGTGTGTATTTTACTGTTTAGGCGCAATAAGCAGTGTAAAAGAACTAAATTTAGTTCTGAGAGGCGGCTTTATGCGCGCGCACTTTGGGTGTAAACACAAAATCTGCAGGAATAAGTAAAATTATGCGTAATATTACACCAACAATATTAATCCAGAGCAAATGAAACGAGTGAGAGGGGAGGCGGATTTGTGTGTTAACTCACTGTCGGAGAGATGAGAGAGAGAAAACACAGCTGGTATCGTGTATCTGTTCTGTGAAAAAAATGAGTATTAGATATTTAGGTATTAAAAAATGTATATTTTTGACAATACTACATTGCACTTAGTTTATTAATTCAGGTGACTTTTTAATAGACTCAAATTTTAAAATGTATATATTATATATAAAATTCAACCCGCCAGTGTGTCTAGTTGGAGTGACTGCATTATACGCCACTGCTGAAATCCACCCGCTTTTGGCGGGTGTTAATGTCAAGCCCTGATTATCTGTGTTGATATTTTGTGTATGTAATTGAATGCTAACAGGCTCACACTATTGGAGCTGATATTAGCACAGCTTAGTGTTGTTGAGGAGGAGAAGGACTGTTTACTGCCTCTGAGTGTAGCTGAGTTCCTGGCTTCCTGCTTCACTCATCACTGCAGAGCTGTTCTCACTCTGAGCTCTGAATCATCAGATGACCAGGTCGGTTTTATCTGCTATGCCCATACTGCACCTCTCCATGTTTGTAATGTATGTAATACTGAAGAGTATTGGGATCATATCAGATCACGGTCAATGTTTTGCATGTTTTTATCAGTAGATATTGGATATTTATTGTCTTGAGATTGGATAGCTTATTGTGGCAATCTCTTTTTTCATTTCATATTGGTACTGATTATTGTTTTTAGCATGTTCAATTTTTTTAGTAGTATATTATAAAGGCCACAACATGAAAATAGTTAGTAAACATAGTTTAACCCACCATTCAATTTTTTGGGATCAGTAAGATTTTTATTTTAAGAAATTACTGGTAATTATTTTATTCAGGAAGGGCATATTAAATTTATCAAAAGTGACAGTAAAGACATTTATAATGTTACCAATTTTTTTTTCCAAATAACTGCTGTTCTTTTGAACTTTCTATTCTTCTAAGAATCCTGAAAAAGAAAGTGTATCACGGTCTCCTCAAAAATATTAAGCAGAAATAAATTCAGCTTAATTTCAGGATATATATATATATATTATTTTTATTGTATTAAAATACAAAACAGTTGTTTTATATTGTAATAATATTTAAAAATATATTATTGTTTTTATTGTATTTTTTTATCAAATAAATACTGCCTAAGAGCTGTAATAAATAGCATAAGATACTTTTTTTCTAAAACATTACAAAAATCTTACTGACACCAAACTGTAGTGTACACTTTATAGAAGATATACTAAGCCTAGTATTTGTTGTGCATTTGCAGGCGGCTATGGTCGTCATCAGGCTTTCAGACATCCTTTGCGAGATCACCTCTGACTGCAAAGAGTTTATGGCCCTGCAGGATCACTCTGGCCTTCTGAGCACAACAGTCGGTAAATGCGGAGTACTGGCGTAATGCTTTTGCTTTTGTTGGAGATAAAAATCCTAATGCATTATTAATGTGAATACACAAGCCTTTGCCATAAAATGAAGATGCAAAATATTTGTTTTGGTACAACTGCATACTCAATTTAAAAGGTCTCGTTTCTTGAAACGTTGCTGTCCCTTGAAACTCTTGAAACTGTCTTGAAACTCACTATCCCTCATACTGTTCGTTTCGCAGATGATAAACTAAACTGAAAAATGTACCACACACCCCTATAAGCTTTTCCCACCTTTCACATTTAAAACACAAAGCAGCCATTCCTGTGGGGTGCTGTATGAAACCGACACCTCTGACAGTTCACAGCTCACTGAAGACAGACACAATCTACATTCTTCACACACTCTCCTGTCATCCATCCAGCTCTGATGTCACACCTTAAGCATGGGAGTTATGGCAGCATGCTTCTCTCTCTCTCTCTCTCTCTCTCTCTCTAATCTTATATGTAATGTGTAAATTCTCCTTATATCTTCTCTGTTGTTCCCAGATCTCTTGAAAGATGTCCACTTACTGGGCAAAACCAGTAAAAATGTGTTCACTGCAGCACATGATTTCTCCTTGACGAGGCCAGGGGGCGCCGACACCCACCCTGCCATCAGTTTCAAAGCTCATCTCATTCGACTCATTGGTAACCTGTGCTATGGCCACATTGTCAACCAGGACAAGGTACTGCACACAATAGTTCCTGGATGTTATTGTATATATTTGTGTATGTGTATGGTGTATATGGTGTGTGTATGTATGTATGTACGTATGAATATATATGTATGTATGTATTTTTGTGTGTATATACACTCACCGGCCACTTTATTAGGTACACCTGTCCAACTGCTCGTTAACACTTAATTTCTAAGCAGCCAATCACATGGCGGCAACTCAGTGCATTTAGGCATGTAGACATGGTCAAGACAATCTCCTGCAGTCCAAACCGAGCATCAGTATGGGGAAGAAAGGTGATTTGAGTGACTTTGAACGTGGCATGATTGTTGGTGCCAGAAGGGCTGGTCTGAGTATTTCAGAAACTGCTAATCTACTGGGATTTTCACGCACAACCATCTCTAGGGTTTACAGAGAATGGTCCGAAAAAGAAAAAACATCCAGTGAGCGGCAGTTCTGTGGGCGGAAATGCCTTGTTGATGCCAGAGGTCAGAGGAGAATGGCCAGACTGGTTCGAGCTGATAGAAGGGCAACAGTGACTGAAATAACCACTCGTTACAACCGAGGTATGCAGCAAAGCATTTGTGAAGCCACAACACGCACAACCTTGAGGCGGATGGGCTACAACAGCAGAAGACTCCACCGGGTACCACTCATCTCCACTACAAATAGGAAAAAGAGGCTACAATTTGCAAGAGCTCACCAAAATTGAACAGTTGAAGACTGGAAAAATGTTGCCTGGTCTGATGAGTCTCGATTTCTGTTGAGACATTCAGATGTTAGAGTCAGAATTTGGCGTAAACAGAATGAGAACATGGAACCATCATGCCTTGTTACCACTGTGCAGGCTGGTGGTGGTGGTGTAATGGTGTGGGGGATGTTTTCCTGGCACACTTTAGGCCCCTTAGTGCCAATTGGGCATCGTTTAAATGCCACGGCCTACCTGAGCATTGTTTCTGACCATGTCCATCCCTTTATGGCCACCATGTACCCATCCTCTGATGGCTACTTCCACCATGTCACAAAGCTCTAATCATTTCAAATTGGTTTCTTGAACATGACAATGAGTTCACTGTACTAAAATGGCCTCCACAGTCACCAGATCTCAACCCAATAGAGCATCTTTGGGATGTGGTGGAACGGGAGCTTCGTGCCCTGGATGTGCATCCCACAAATCTGCGGCAACTGTGTGATGCCATCATGTCAATATGGACCAAACTCCCTGAGGAATGCTTCCAGCACCTTGTTGAATCTATGCCACGAAAAATTGAGGCAGTTCTGAAGGCAAAAGGGGGTCCAACCCGTTACTAGCATGGGGTACCTAATAAAGTGGCCGGTGAGTGTATATATTCATTCTTAGAAAAAAAACAAAAACAAAACGGATATATAATACAATTTTTTGGGATGGGGCTCGAGACTTGTAATTTTTTGCCTGACTCCACCTTGCTTGCAATTCCTCAATAAAATAGAACTGATTGATTGGTAAGAAAAACTGAAATAGTCAATGTGATTGCCAAAGGAAGGAAGTATTTAGCAAAAATCTTGGAAATCATCTTTAAAACTTCCCCTCCTGTGATTTCTATGACTCGTTGGAATGTGTTGGCAATGAGTGTTGAAACTAACACCATAGAGCTTGCAGCCAAGTCCAGTAATGCACTGATCAACAGGCGGCACAACCCAGTCGTGGTAAACACATTAACAATACTGTGGTTTAGAGCCTTGCGCGCTGTCCATCAACCCAGGCCTGGGCTTTTTTGTTTGTGGAAGCTCCCTCCTTGAAAACTAATCAGGGGATTAACGCTGGTAGATAAAGGCTTGAGAACCAATCTGAATTTCATGCTTGTATCATCTAATTTCTTCCCCAAATCTTTGTTCCCCTTCTCCTTTTTTTCTTTTAAATGAATTCCCTTGTAATCAGCCTCCTGCCATGGAGGGATTTTCATCCTTTCAGGTCTATCCCCTTCAATCAGCACAGAGGAGACCCTAGTACCGGCCTCCCTAAATAGGGTCAAAGCACACAACTGAGAGTTCAAAGGTCAAAAAACAATAGCCAGTCTCCCCCAGCCTGCACCCTCACTTTTTGACCAAAACTTGTGAGCACCATCATTGCCTAATGCCTACTGCTCCCTTTGCTACTTTCTAATGGGTTGTTCACACAGAACGCGTCTGTCACGTTGTCACGTCTCGCACTCGAAACGATGTTCTAAAAACGTGATGCTCAAATTCAAAAAGTTGAACTTTTAATAATCGTGTCCATAGACTATATTACACTCTAGACTTGTTCTTTCAATTTACTGCCTTGCATGTCTTTACATTCTGTGTGAATGCCCCCTAAGATAGCATCGTCTTTGCAATGGAACCTCGTAAATCTGGACTTTTTGGAGCATCTTAATATGGACAGCTCAATGTAAAAAGCAGCTCCCCACATGCCACGCAAAACACACTTGAGACGAGACTCTTGATTGATTTCAACAGAGTTAACCATTATCATGTTACTAATGCTAATGGCATGCACAAATATTGGATAAAATAATGAATTTTAATTCAAAAACTGAACTATTGTTATTGGTGTGTTGTTGTATTTAATAGTGTTTGCTAAAAGGTGGCTGTACAGTTGAGTTTTGGACCAGCTTTTGCGTCACGTGAGGATAGCCAAACAAAACTAATTCTGTGGCCGAAGCGTACAGTTACATAAGTTTCCCTTCGCTTTATTGCTAGTTCTACTTTCTCAATCAAACGCCATGATAGTCATTAACAGCAGAAAATTGTCAGGGCTCTATGGCTTGTCTCCTCTTTCTTATTCATTTTTTTTTTTTTTTTTATGAACCAAGGTGGTTAAAGGGCAACCGCTGTTGCTCTTGGGTTACGATACGGACTCAGGATAATGTTCGGAGTAGTTATAAACTGCATGTGACGAAAACCAGCGCAAACCCGTATGACTGTGCCAAACCAGAGCTTAACCGCATGGACTTTCCTCCATGGAAAGTAATTGTTTTCTGACCAGTCTGGCTCACGATGCCCCTGTTAAAGACCATTTTCCTTTTCTTTTTTTTTTCTTTTGTCTCCTATAGGTAAGAGAACTGGACGGTATAGCTCTCATTCTGGACAACTGCAGCCTTGACAGCAACAACCCCTGTATCCTTGGTTGTGACTCACTTGTTTTTTATTCACTCTGTGCTTTTGCGGTGTGTTTAATGAGCGTTTTCTGGTTACAGCCGCCGCAAAAAATGCAAAGATATTGCTATATAAAGTGTGAATAGCATTGTAATGGCCCTTAAATTCCATTACTAATGGAGGTTTTACCACACTATTTGATGTTTGAATGATTGGTGTCTTGTTCAGAGTTGAAAACGCAGTTTAAATGTTATTAGAGAAAAACCAGCGCCTTGCCGAATGGTTTCAAGTCCCTCCACCTAGCAACGTCCCCTGCAGAGAGGTGGAACCAATGGGCTGACTCACGGTCATTTTGTATCCCTCACTCAACAGTTTTCTTGTGTGAAATATCTAGTCATAATAGTTTATGAAGCTAAATGTAGGTATTGCATATATGAGTAATTTTGTGGTGTTGACAGAAGTCAGTTTTATAAATGTGCAACACTTTCTGGAAAACTTGATTGAAATCCTGGGTGGAAAATCACCACTTGAATGAAATGAAGTGACATTTTGTATTTTTATAGTGTTGACCTGCATCCTGCCAACTCTGTTCCATATGAAACGGTTCATTGATAACACGACAATCTGATGTATTGCAGCTGTGTTTCCAAAGGCTCCTTGACTGATGCTGGTGCTGTTGTGTTTTAAAAAAAAGACTCTTTCATTCTCTAGCGATCACTGCCGGTCTGTATTAGAGAAAGCAGGGCACAATGCCAGCTGTTCTTTCACTAGGGGATGAGCCACTAAGCTGAGCTTGTGTCCTCCCGGATCCTGCTTCCTGACTGCTTCAGGAAGTGGTCATTCTTGCTTAATGTTTAGCGTTGTTGCTGGACTTGGTGATGGTTTCACTTCTGGTATGGCCATAATATATATAAATGGTCAAGTAAGTTTACCGTAAAATTCACTTGGACCTATGCTTATATTTTGTAGGTCTCAGGACCCATATTTTGGTGGTATCACTGTTGTATTGGAAAAGAACAAATATGATACTGATATATCATGCATCTCTTTCCCTTTGACATTAATTCGGGAGTGATGTGCTATTACTATTCTATGTGATCAGATTTGCATCCCGGTGGCTATAAAACTGGTGAAGAATCTTTTAGGATTATGTTGAAGTTGGGACCTGAGCCATATCTAGAGACCAGAAAATCATGGAGGGTTGGGCTTTTTTGGCTTGGGCCAGTATGAAAGCAAAAAGAACACCCCGACAACCTCATAGCAACATATTAAAACTATTAAAAAACACCTTAAAGAGCAGCATCATGCCGACAGCCCCCTTACAGAGAGAGTTTGCACGGGAGCGTACCACTTACATTTTCATCCAAAAATATAAAATCTAGTTTTTGTTCTTGATTAAACGTTTGATATAATAACTTTCCTTAATTTTCCTGCCAGTCATAAGCCAGTGGGCCGTGTTTGCCATTCGGAACATCCTGGAACACAACCTAGAGAATCAGAAGCTCATACAAAGCCTTCGGAGACAAGGTGTGGCAGATGACACAATGCTCAAGGACATGGGCCTCAGAGTGGAAGAAAGGGATGGCAATCTACTCCTCCGGCCCCTAAAGAAGGACCCCTAGTTGATTAAGTGGAGCTGGGAGAATGCTATCCCGGGACGCCCATCCCCACTCCCCTTAACTATGCTATATTACACTCTGGAGATGGCTTAAAACGCCCACACTTGGGTCATTAAATATCCAATCAGTAGTTGGGAGCATAAGGGGGTGGTCTGGGCTTTGTGTTCTCCACACAAGAGGAAATCAATCAGAGGAGCTTATCTGAGAGAACTCATGCTGATGTCTGTGATGCTTTTAGTGGTCTTTGATTCCAACCCCCCCAAAGTGGGATTCAAATCCTATGAACAAGGAGAACCGTGTCTTCCTGGCTTTTCAGCCACTAAAGAGACTCTGGTGACCAACAGGGAGTAGAGGTTAATCCCTAATTCACTGAATTTTATAGAGACCAGGCCGCCTCTTGATCTGTACACATAAAGTTCGCCTCTGAATAGCCGTGAGACTCGGATCCTTCTTTTTGAAAGCTCTCAAGTTTTTGTGCTTAAATCGGGTTTGTTTACAAAGCCATCCTATTTTACCAATTCCACTTTTGTCCGAACAAGCTTCACGTGTAGTTTGGATGGACATTACGATATGGTAGGATTGTCTATTTAACACTTTAATTTAGTGCAATTATTGTAGTAAAATAAAAATGACGCAATTACCTGTGTGTACATTCCGTAATATGGTCATTCCACCCTCATGTTTATGGGAGTCTGCAGTCAGTGCAACCTCAGCTCCTACTACAAGCAACATGCCTCGACAAACCACGCTATTTGAGCGCATGCAGCGCAGAGAAGTGTTCAAAAACAGCTAGATCAGTTTTGGGAGACAAAATTGCAACATTTATTTTAACAGTATCCATTCATGTTGCAAAATATTATTGCAATTTAAAATAACTATAATGTATTTGAATATATTTAAACATGTAATTTATTCCTGTGACCATACTCAAAAAACATGTTTTTTATTAATATCAATGTTGAAAAGAGTTGTGCTGCTTAATATAAAAAAAAAAAAATGTAATTGTCTAGGCTATGTAAAAATGTTTACTGTACAAAACAGATTTTCATTTCTATATTCATTTAAAAAATGCAGTATTCATTTAAAAATGTTTACCATAAACTTAAATTATTAACAAGTGGATATATTGGATATACTATTGAATACACTCACCGGCCACTTTATTAGGTACACCTGTTCAAGTACTATTTACCGCAAATATCTAATCAGCCAATCACAGGGCAGCAACTTGATGCATTTAGGCATGTAGACACGGTCAAAACAATTTGCTGAAGTTCAAACTGAGCCTCAGAATTGGGAAGAAAGTTAATTTAAGTGATTTTGAACATGGCGTGATTGTTGGTACCAGACGGACTGGTCAGAGAATTTCAGAAACTGCTGATCTCCTGGGGTTTTCACACACAACCATCTCTAGGGTTTACAGAGAATGGTCTGAAAAAGAGAAAGTATCCAGTAAGCAGCAGTTTTCCAGGTGAAAATGCCTTGTTGAAGTCAGAGGAGAATGGCCAGACCGGTTCGAGCTGATAGAAAGGCAACAGTCACTCAAATAACCACTTGTTACAACCAAGGTATGCAGAAAAGCATCTCTGAACGCACAACACGTCGAACTTTGAAGCAGATAGGCTACAGCAGCAGGGCTACACACGGGCGCCACTCCTGTCAACTAAGAACAGGAAACTGAGGCTACAATTCGCACGGGCTCACCAAAATTGGACAATAGAAGATTGTAAAAACGTTGCCTGGTCTGATGAGAACATTTTCTGCTGCGACATTCATGAAAGCATGGCTCCATTTTTGCCTTGTTTCAACAGTTCAGGCATCTGGTGTTGGTGTAATGGTGTGAGGGATATTTTCTTGGCACTCTTTTGCCCCCTTAGTAACAATTGAGCATTGTTTAAATGCCACAGCCTACCTGTGTATTGTTGCTGACCATGTCCTTCCATTTATGACCACATTGTACCCATCCTCTGTGATATGGCACATTATCCTGCTGAAAGTAGCCATCAAAGCTCAAATTTCAAATAATTTCCAACTGGTTTCTTGATCATGACAATGCGTTCACTGTACTCAAATGGCCTCCACAGTCACCAGATCTCAATCCAATAGAGCACCTTTGGGATGTGGTGGAACGGGAAATTGGCATCATGGATTTGCAGCCGACAAATCTACAGCAACTGCGTGCTGCTATCATGTCAATATGGACCAAATTCTCTGAGGAATGTTTCCAGGACCTAGTTGAATCTATGCCATGAAGAATTAAGGCAGATCTGAAGGCAAAATCGGGTCCAATCCGGTACTAGCAAGGCGTACCTAATAAAGTGGCCGGTGAGTGTATGTATACACTATTGCATACTTTACACAGGAAAAAAGCTGCTTTTATATTTTAGGAAGAGGGTCCTTAGATTCTTATTTATTGTGATGTATGTTTATTGTCTAGCCAAATCTACATGGGACACCAGTGCTCAGTTATTTCTCTCTTGGTCCATCCCACACCAGTCTTTTTTTTTTTTTTGCTCTTGTAGCTATCTAGTTCTCGTCCCAAGTGAATCAGACCAGAAGTATTAGCTTGCAGAATCATATCTCGCCCCATCCTGTCCTGGAATGAGCTGAGTGGTCCACACACACACACCCCTGTAGCTTTAATACCCCTCAATGGAGGCCTCTACTCTCCCCACAACACCCTGTTTTTTCTGCCTCATATTTTTTAATGACAAAATGTTTGTGCGAAACAATCGGGTTGACTTTTCTCTCAATCCGGGGTATAGTGTTGGGAGCTTACGCGGTTCCGGTACCCAGCAGTTCAGACAGCTAACAAAACAGGTCCTATTTACTTCTGCTCCGGTGGCTGCCTGCAATGCTTTTCACACACAGGAAAAAGACCAGAGGGGCAGAGAGCATACGGCGGGTGAATGAATGAGCCAGGTCGGATGCCTATTCAAACCCAGGCGGGAGCAGCTCTGTGTTGCTCCGAGATCAGCGTTTCGCAGTATCTACACCACACGACTGCGAGCTACTCCGTGCATCTGGGAAGAAACTTTAAGCAGGGTCCAGCGAGTCCATCAAAAAAGAGGTTGACATGCGTTTAGCAACATTTTGCTTTTTAATAACCATGAATTTAAATTAACACAGTTGAATGTGTTTGATCCAAACTGTTTGATTCATTTATTAATCTATTGATTTTACTGTACATCTCTTCCAAAAAAAAAAAAAAAAAGTATAAATACAACCAGGCTACAAAAAGATGAGATGGTTTCATATCAAACTTGAGAAGGCAATTATGGGGAGCTCAGGAAAAATAAAAATCATAATAATAATAAAAAAAAACACTTTACATAATTAAATCAGAACAAAAAAATGTAGATCTCCAATTAAACATTAAAAATATGACAAGGAAAATAGTATTAATAATTACTCTGAATATACCTGACATAAAGTGCCATATTCTCTACATAAAAAAATATATTTTAACAAATTTGCCAGCCATATAACTCGTATAAACAATTTAGATAAAAAAAAATGTTGCTACTCAAAATATTTCCAGTGACCTTTTAACCATTTTCAGATCCATAGCTGTATGGTCCATTGGCTCAGGCGGAATATAACTAGACCTTGTGCACGCCGGACCAGTGATGTGGAATCCCATGTCTCTAGCATTCGTGGGAATGGTCGGTCACTCAAATGGTGGTGGGTCACATCGCAGTTCTATGAAGTATCCGAAAGCTCTCTCTCTTATGTTCCCACACATGGTTAGACACGCACAAATTTGAAGACAAAACAATGCAGCATACATAGCCAAGTCTTGATATGACTAAGGAAGCTTCTCTCCGCATAAAAAAAATCAATATCGATCAACTGCAAAAGAAATGCAGGGTTAAAGAAGCTCTTTTTACATAAGCAATGTCCTGTATTGTTTCGGGTTGGATTTCGGAAGCAACAGATCAGTAGCAATGATATTAGAAGTTCAAAACTCTGTATACCATTATGAGACAACTACAGTATGAACATTTTCAGTCTTTTTCTCCAAACAGAAGGAAAAAAGGAATTTTTTCAGTGTTCAAACAGATACAGTACAGTGTGACCGAACGTTTTAAGCTTTCCAGCGTTTCCAGAGTTGCAGCAAGTCTTTCCTCTTGAGCTCCCATAGGGATTCAACTGGTGGGACATTTTACACGTCTTTTACAAGTTGTCTTGTAATAAGCTTTCTTTAATAAAAAAAAAAAAAGGTCACTTTTGTGGGCAGTTTAGACTGTCCGATTTTGAGTCTATATCAAGTCAGGACAGGCCTCAGGTGACCTTCCTGAAGTCTGTGAGCATCTGAGAACTACGAAAGCCTTGCACTGCATTTGTCCACATGTTTGAATGAAATCCCAAAACAGTCGGTCTGAAGTCAGTGCATTTTCCTCTAAAGTTCCAGGATCTTCATTACTCATCCTCATCTTCCTCGGCAGTGGCCTTTCTCGCATAAAGACTGCCTGATGTGCAAAACGAAGCCGTGTATGTTCGACACTTCCATCTTTCTTTCAAACACTTCCCGTTTCTCTCCATAGGCTTCTTTCCTTTCTTTCTTGTCTTTTCAACTCTTCTGCTCGCTCATTTACAGGTGAACACCTCCGTCTTTTCGCTGCAGGTGTTGCACTTGACGAAGCAGCACCACTGGAACTTGCAGTTGCATTGCCAAACGCGTGTGTACTGATGGGTGTTGTGGCCTCGGCCGCAGCACATCAGGTTGCAGCCGTCTGTGTGAGGGGACGTGTGGTTACACAGGCGCCCTCTCGTTCCCGTGCTCCCCGTCGCAGTGTCTTCCTCGCAATAATTGGGTGAACGCTCCAAGTAAACCAAGTCTGTGTCAGTGGGCTTTATGTACCCACGGGACTGCTTGAGGCGCAAGAAGGAGGGTTGGCGAAAACGCGTGGCTCTCACAGCCTCCACCTCAACCGCAGTGGTATAACGCTCCTTAAGTACGTAGCCGATCTCTCTGAACTTCGGCAAAGTCGTCCAGCAGGTTTTTGTGGTGCATGAGCCGGAGACGCCATGACACTTACATTCCAGCTTCATCCTTTCCTCTAGAACCTGCAGCAGTAGAAAAAAAACCCTGTTACTGTTACCTGGCATATGAAGCACAAACCTTCGTTTATCTTTTGAATTCTAAATGAGAGGTAATGTAAATTAAATGTTATTTTATTAATTTTATATTAACTTTACTATATATATATATATATATATATATATATATATATATATATATTGGGTAAATCTATATATATATATATTTTTTTTTTGGGGGGGGGGTAAATCTGTATTTTATTTGCTGCTAAAACTCACATAGTCTTTTACAATAGGCATGACTTCATCAGAGGCCTCTGAATCTGTGGTGCGAGTGAATTTGTGCAGCTGACGGGTAAGGGAAATTCTTGACATTTTATTTTGACTGTTTTCAGCAATTTGAACCAAAAGCCATTATTCAATACGTCCTGAGCAATGTCTCAATGTGCGATGCCAGATATATGTCGAAACTGAGAGGAAAAAATATGTTTTAGCCAAATCATACCCTGTAATTTTCTCTACCTTCCGAAAGGCCACATCAAAGAACGAGAGAAATGTCCATAATTCTCAAGTCCCCATTTATGTATATGGTTACAT